CAGATGATAGGAACCCCCTAAACCCTAACCCCTAAACCCTAAACCCTGCACCCCTAAACCCTAAATCCTAAACCCCTAAACCCTAAACCCCTAAACCCTAAACCCTAAACCCCTAAAACCCTAAACACCTAAAACCTAGCCCAAGCCGCCTAAACCCCTAAACCCCTAAAGCCTAGCCCAGGCTTCCACACGGCATCTCAAAGCCTAAACCGAGCCAAAAGCCTCGAAAACCCATCCTCTTGGGCTTGACACTCCCAGATGGGTAGTTGTCAAAACTATGGTCCCTTTTGGGGTACCCTAAATAATAGGTGCCGTATTACAATAAGGACCCAAAAAGGGACCATAATTTTGACAACCACCCATATCAAATCCTCATGAAAGGTGCCCGGTACAACCTTGTGTGAGTTGCAGACATTAGGGCCACCCCCCACTACAGACCTCACGAAGCAGCAGGATGTTCTTATCCGTAAGATGAAGACACCCTGTATGAAGCAGGGTTCTTGCGGCTAGCCAGTGATCGCCTAACTTGATGCAAGCCCGATCCCAGCGAACGAAGCCTGAAACGCTGATCCCCCATCAGTGCCTCCCGCAGCTGTTGAAAGAAGAGGAAGAAGTCCGCCCTGGCTTGGCAAGAAGGGATCATTCTTGATTGAACTGTTGGATCGTGGCTTGACGGTGTATGAAAGGTTTGGGTTTTGGGCTTTAAGGCTCAGCGAGCATGCCATTGGGGTTTAGACTTGTACGCTTCGAGTCTATAGGTTTGCTGTGTGCTCAGTTTCCTGGCCCAAAGAGGTAGGATTGTAGGCTCAACAAGTGAAGGCTACCTACTCAACCGCCTTGTTTGGGCTTAGAACTGTTAACAATATTTGAGAATCATACCCCTAAACTCTAAACCCCAAACCGCGTATCAAACTCCCCCCCCAATTTTCGACTAGGGCTCGGTAGCCTCTTGCCGTCACTCCTTCTAGGGCCCAAATCTACAGCCCTATTGTTTGGTTCTAGGTACTTTGACAGGTGGATAAGCCCCAAGCCTACAGAAACACCATAATCACGATTTGAGGTCCCGGCGACACGATGACGTCCTCCTCCTTGGAAGCAACTCGTCTCAAAACCAGCACGCGAAGTTTCTTGAAACTGGAGGTGTTGTGTTTAAGGGTCCTTCATAGTCTTGGTCTGATAAGGTTTCTACGTAACATTCAGGGTGTACCAATGGGCCCCATAGTAGTTCCTGTTTGGGATTACCTTATAGGATTCTAAATATAAACCCCAAAATGGAACTACTATGGGGCCTCTGGGTAACGTTAGGGTCACTGCATTCTTGCCTAAACCCTAAACCCTAAACTCTAAACCCTAAGCCCTAAACCCTAAACCCTAAACCCTAAACCCTGAAACCCTAAACCCTAAACCCTAAACCCCAGAAACTCCTGGGTACCTGGCCAGCACGGCTATGGCCGGAAACTTCCGGAAGGGTCCTGGTAGCAGCGGGACCCCCTAGGCACCAAGGGCTTGAGGGTTTAGGGTTTAGGGTTTAAGGGTTTAGGGTTTCGGGTTTAGGGTTTAGGCTTGAGGTGAAAAGGAAGCAGGAATATTATCAGCTTAGGGTTTAGGGTTTAGGGTTTAGGGTTTTGGGGTTTAGGGTTTAGAGTTTAGGGTTTACTGTATCTTTCATAACAACATAAGTCTATAGCAGTATAAAAAATCGTAGAAGCAATGGCAATGCAAAAGACAATAGGTCCAGGTCCCTTTAGAGTACACCTCCACCCGGAGCGCTAGAAGCTTAAGCAATCTTTCCAAGGCTTCCGGTGGTCGAAAAGCCGCTCCTTTGGCTCCATTAATGTCACCACTCCACCTGCCCTGAAACTGAGAACTGCAGTGTCCTTTTCAAAGAAGGCACTGTGCCCTCTTCAAGAGACTCCGGAAAATCCCTCAAACCCTAAACCCCAAACCCCGAAACCGCTAAACCCTAAACCCCTAAACGCCTAAACCCCTAAACCCTAAACTTTAGGAGAGGTTGGAACGCTAAAGCTTCGGCGAAACTGAGGACCACACACCTTCGCACACGACTCTGACAATTATAAAGCAGTTGAGGGCTTAGGGTTTAGGGGTTAGGGTTTAGGGGTTAAGGGTTTAGGGTGGTTTAAGGGTTAGGGTTTAATAATTTAATGTAGGGGCCTCAATAATCAGAATAGGGTTTTGGACTCCTTTATAGCATTATAAGGAATAACCTCGGTAATTATTCAGGCTTCCATATTCAGGTTGTGGGTTTAGGGTTTTGGTGCAAAGAGGGTTCTGATGTCTCAAGGTTTTCAAATCAGGTCTTAGGACTCCCTTAAACCCTCTAAACCCTATACCCTAAAGCGTGGGCCTTGTCGGGTGTTCGAGATTAGGGTTGACGGAAAGGCCCTAAAACCGAAGGCTCGCGCCGAGAGCTTAGGGACTTTTTGGAATTTAGGTCTTAGGGTTTTGGGTTTAGGGTCTAGGGTTTAAGGTTTAGCATTGAGCCATGGTTTTGAGCGGGAGAGTGTGAAGCTTACAAGCAGAGCGGAAGACATCTTACGACCATAAAGGTTTAGGGTTTAGGTTTTTGGGCGCTGGCTAAAACCAAAAACCCGAAAAAAAAAACAAAACTACAATGCCCTCAAGCCCAGCGGCCTTGAAGCCTTTGTGCAGTGGCGCTCCGACAGATCAGGGGCGGAAAAGCAAATCGTTGTGGACCCGCGGAAGCTTTGCATCCCAAGCACAAACTCCCTGCTGTAGTCCTTCATGCTCTTGTTGAGCAGACGTCCCGCGTCCTTGCGGAACTTCGTCCTCCTGTCCTTGCACGTGGAGCAGGCCTCGCCCTGCTTCGCCAGAAGAGCCTCACCCGCGGTGCCCTTCGGACTCGAATGGCATCCTGGTGGGCCACGCGCTCCCTAAAGCGCATGCCTGCCCACGAGGCTGGGCTCCTCAAAAGCTTCGGCGTCGGAAGCATGGTTGGCTTCCCTGGTCCTGCTTTCCACTTCGGTGCCGTGGTGGACAGGACTCTCTTGTTCTCCTCGTCCTTGCTCTCCTCTTCTTTCTTTTCCTTCTTCGGCGGAGGCTGCACCTTCGGAACCGGACTCCGAACTGGGGTGCTCGCCTTCGGCGGCGGTGTCTTAGGCTCGACTGGGTCCTAGACAACAATTTTTACAGGGTTTCCACACAAATAAAAGTTTCTATGGGCCTTCAGAAGGGCCTCTTTATGAGGCTTCCTCTAGGTTTGCGACTTCTTGAGATTGGGGGCTGACCCCACTGCCGAGCTCCAACAAGGTCTGAAAATCAACTGGTAAACCCTCTACCAAGCGCAACCCTTAGGATACCCAACAACCTAAACCCTAAACCCTACACCAAGCAACGCCTAGGATACCCAGTAACCTGGGGTTTGAGAATGGCTCCCTTTTTTGGTATTGGGGTACCTTTATAAGGAGCCCGAGACTTCAACCAAAAGGCAACAAAAGGCCCAAGGGGATACCTCGAGCCTTTACAGTAATGTAGGGGCCTCAATAATTAGACTGGGGTTTTGGGGTCCTTTATGGTATATTTGTAATCAGGAATGGGTTTTGGGGTCCTTTATGGTAGATTTGTAATCAGGAATGGGTTTTGGGGGCCTTTATAGTGTATTTGTAATCAGGAATAGGGTTTTGGGGTATATTATACAATAATTCTGATTGAAGGAACCTCCAGTAGGAGCCGTACAGGGCACCCCAGCAATTGGAGCATGGGCTTAGGAGGATAAGTGCTGGGATCCCTTCTACTTTCCCTGAAGGGCATGAGGATAATGATGTTCCAGCTTTATGGCATCCACGTCACTACAGTATATTTATAACGAGGAACCCTAACAAAAATTAGTAATTATTTAAGCTTCCATATTAACCCTGGTAGAACGGCAACCTTCAAGGAGCAACCCCCCAAACGAAGAGCAGAGGCGTCTCCTTCGATGGCATACCGCAATGCCTCTGAGTAGTGAAGGGCCTCAATCAACCCACAGACGGTTGTCATTTGGGGCTTCGGGTGGGTTTAGGGTTCAGGGTTTGGGGGTTTCGGGTTTAAGGCTTTAGGGTGTAGGGCTTCGGGATTAAATTAGGGTTTAGGGTTTTAAGGTTCACGGTTTAAGCTTATTGTTGAGGAAACTTTAAAGCCAAGGCCAAGCAGGGGTTGTTGACATCGGAGTGCGTCTGTTGATGCACACAGGTGTGCAAAGCACACCCCGGAAGCCCAAACCCCGATCGAAAGGAACAGCAAGTGCCACCCCCTCCCCAACTAAAACACCACGAACTACCCAAACTTTGATACCCACAAAACCCCACAGGATCAACCCGAGCTCGAACCTGTCGCCGATGCGGCCCTAGAGGCAGCTTCAGACATGTTTCGGGTTTACGTCTATCTACCATCACCCGCGTCTTTTTTGCAGGGCCCCCCACCCCCCCCCGACAATTCGATGTTACGGTCACTAGCGGGGCCCTACAACAAAAATTGGTTAATTGTTTCAGTCTAAGGCTGGGCCAGCGACGATTATAGACGCCGGGGACGCTGGGGACGCCGGGGACGCTGGGGACGCTGGCTGCCGGGGTGTGTGTGGCGCAGACGGAGGCATTATGCCAGCGACGCATAAAACACGTGAACCGGAGATGCTGTTGCGCACACGAAGAAACAAATCATACAAATCATGCTCAGTTTCAGAATTCGCAATGCATAGAAGGGCACGTTGCACAGCTACTCCTACCACTCTACATTCTCTGCAGTTCGAACTTAACTAAACCCTTCACCCCTATACCCCAAACCTATGGTCTAACCTTAGGCCCCAAAGTCTTGGACACTAGCAGCCGCAAACCTCCGTGAACTCCTCGAATAATCAAACTCAAAACCGCCCGCCCGAAAGCCCCAAACCACTGTACCCCCAAACCGTCTATATGCCCAAGCCACCAAACCTTGAACTCAATCGCCAAGATTGAACAAAAACCTGCAGACTCCAAGACCGCTTAACTGGGGATTAGACTATAGCGGTGCCCTCTATTTCTAAACCCTTTGTTCAACCCTTACACCTTAGATTTCGGGTGAGTTTCGGAGCATGAAAAGAGAGCCCAGGCTGAGCTGGGCACCAGCTTCTCTCCAAGAGGCTTCTTCCCTGGAGAATCAGGTTGAACTCCGAGTCTTGGGCTATAGGGTTTAGGGTGTATAGGGGTTGAAGCTTTAGGGTTTAGGGTTTACAGGGTTGAAGCTTTAGGGTTCAGGGTTCATGGCTTTATACGGTATAGGGTTTACAAGGATCGGGTCGGGCCTGCTCAGACAGGGGGGGCCCTCAATGATTAACATGGGGTTAAGGATGTAGGGTTTCGGGGACTGATATAGTAGCCGAGCTGTCATAAGGAATCCTCAGACGTACTGTTTTGGATCTCATTGTTGAGGCTGCTGTATCTAACCCTCAACCTTATTCTTCCGGGTCCCTGGTTTCGAGTTTGGGGCTTGGGGGATTGTTTAAGTGACAAATTCGTCGGGAAATCACTACATTTAGAAGACGTTAGAGAAGCTGCCACAGGTTTGAAACAGGTGAAGAAGGTTTGTCACCTTCTTCGCTAGGCTATGCATATGGGTGTTTCCGGTTACTTGGCCCTCGGTGTTCTATCGGAACAGGGCTTGGGGGTAGACTGTACTAGAGTTACATTCTGCCAGTAACGATACTACTTTGAAAGTAATACAGGGGTTGCATAGTTTTCGACAGGGTTTGGAGTATGTTGGACCGTCCTTGTAATCAAGGCTACAAGGAAGAACATTAGCAACTGTTCAGGATTCTGTAGTACATCGTGCCTGCTTTGGGCTGATTTGGAGCTTTAAAGAATTTGATGCCGAAGGCTAAGCTGCAAATCCTGGAACCTCCATCCTAAATCCGAAACCCAAAACACCTCATTCCTTTAAGTCCTGCGTAGACCACCCAGCACCCTAACGCCCCCCCGAGAGAAGAGAGAGAGAGAGAGAGAGAGCGTGAGCAGCTGCACTGGATCCCCTACAGGCCCTCCATGAAGAGCCCTTCAAGGTCCCCAATATGAGTACGGCACCCTAAAAACAAGGACCCCAAAAGGGACGCTAATTTAGGCTAATTTAGAGAACTTCCCTTATGGGGACCTGGCAGAAGCGAGCCTGTGTCCAGCTGATGTCCGAGAACTCCTTGGGTCATGACCTGAGCTTCCCCCCCACGAACCCAGTCGCCTATAACACTGGGTTTCAGAAGGGCTATCCAGGTTTTCAGGGGCCCTTTATGATTTTCAGTTAGGGTATACAGGTTTTGGGCTTGGGTTTAAGGTTTAGAGTTTCGGGGATGCAACATAAAGATTCCAATGCCTGGGCAGTCTCAGAAAATCGGGGAGGCCCTTCACACAGATCCTACAAAAGGAGGGTCTTTACGGTAAGGACCTGTCTTTGAGATACCTCCAAAAACCATGCGTTGGGGATTGATGGTTGAGAGCTCGGCGTTTGGGCTCAGAATTTGGGGTATGCACACAAATGTTGACTTGTAGCTCTAAACCTCTCTAAAGCCTACAGGTCCTACAAGATAGCCCGCTTGCATGAACCCCATTACCGGACATCATGATCCCTGAGCCGTAAGGCCTGAATCCAATGCCATGAAACTTGGGAAAAAGAGCCTGATCAAGTACGTTACAAATACTATTTCTAGGGCCTAAGAGCTTCCTTCCTTTGTTTATTTTGTGTCCATGTTGTATTAGGCCCTTACACCCGATTATTCAGGCCCCACCCCTTCTGGTCCAGGGGTGGTGCCTTCAGTTATACAGGCACTGCCCCACACGCTAGCGCTAGGGGAATACTGTTCGAGTTTGCGCAGCCAACAGGGGATCAGCTGAGCGTGCTTTTCTTGCTGCCGGTGCGTGTGTGCGTGTTTGGTTCGGCCACCCCGCACCCCAAGCCCTTTCTCCGAGCCAGTGCCCCCAGCTTAGTACCCGTGTGAAGGATCACGGGGGGAAGAGCTTCTGTTCCTGTGAAGTGGTCTGTCTTGCCAAGTGTCCAAATCCAACCCAAGCCGCGCAGTTTGGGCGGGCGGGCCCATGGCGGTTCGAGTGGCACTTTTCCCTGCTTGGATTGTGGGGCTCGGAGCAGCGAGCTCTTGGCGGATCTCCCCATGGCGGCAGGGAACGTTTCCGTTCGGCCGGAGCGCACCCCAGGCCATCCACTCACTCACTCACCTGTTCAGGCCCCCATACAAACTGCCAAGCCTGAGCCGAGATCCCTGCTACATCCCGCACACGCTTTCCATCGCCATCCTCACAAAGAGTGGTCAGGGTCTATGGTTTTAGGATATTTTGTGCCTTTTCAGGCTTGAGGTTCTCGGTTTAGGGCCTACCTTCACAGCTTTATGTCGCAGGAATCAGGCCCAAGAAGTAGCTGGGCAAGCTGTTCTTTTGGAAGATGTCTTTGTATCCCTAAACCCTAAACCCCTAAGAACCCTAAACCCTAAGAACCCTAAACCCTAAATCCTAAAAGACCCCTACTAAACCCTAAAAAACCCGAAACCCTAAACCCTGAAACCCCAAACCGTGGCTATTTGGGAGTTTCAGAAAATTAGGGTACCTTATTTGAGGTCCTTATAAAAGGGATCCTATTATTTAGGGTACCATATTAGGGTCCCCTATTTTCGGAAACCTCCATTTGTTTGTGTCCATAGGGTGCGGCTCTGCAGGGCTTCAAAGTCTCTGCTAACTGTTGCTTGGGGTTTAGGGTTTAGGGTTTAGGGTTTAGGGTTAGGGTTTAGGGCTTAGGGCTGCAACTGCTACAGGGGATGCGGGGGGGTCCTATCAATCCGGAAGGTCTAGGTAATGTAGGGGCCTTAATAATTAGAATAGGGTCTTGGGAGGCTCCTTATTAAAATCATGGTATACTGTATACCCCAAAATCCTATTCTGATTATTAAGGCCTCTATAGTACATGAAAAACGTACCTGATCAAAGAAGGGTCATGTGCCCTTAGCTCTCCTATTCACGCACCGTAAGAGCTCATACTTTCAGTCTTCAGTGGGATGGCCTGAAGAGCATAATAGTGAAAATCATAATAGTCATAATCGTAAAAAATATCGAAATAATAGTAAGACTCATCATCACCATCATAGTAATCACAACAATAACCGGAATACTTATGTAAGTAGACATAGGAATGCGAATAGCACTTGCAAAAATAGCACCTAATCATGACCCAATGAGCGATGATGCAGAACCCTAAACCCACCCTGCTCTCTCTTCAGGGGCATGTGAACCCGAAAGGCCCAAGGACAGACAAGTTTGTGGGGAACATCAGGGCTCCCAAACCACCAGGGCACCAGGGGGTTCAGGGTTTAGGGTAACATGATTCCGAAATTATCCCGAAATTATCCCGATTATTAAGGCAAATGCTTTCCGACTTACGGTTGACACTGAGATAGTTGCCATCGTTAGTTTATTATATGATAAGAGTACTAGGAAGTATACTTGTTATGATTGGATTATCTTCTTGATCTTGCTATGGCACGAAGGGTTCGGAGGGCAAGGCCGCAGTGGACTGTTAGCTCATGGCTGGGAAACAGCGGAGTCGGAGCTACGCTGATTCTCCACTCTACGATAAGGCTGGTTGACCAAAAATGCAGGAGCTTGGGGGTCTTGGGGAACCAAAATAATAAGAGGAGCAGCTAATAGTAAGAGGAGCAGCTTTTTCAAGCTCTTGGGGAACCAAAAAAATAAAAGAGGAGCAGCTTTTTCAGGGTGTAGCTGCCCTGGACTTCCAGAACACCCTGCGCCTGGGAGACCAGAACCAGGGTCGGCACATAGCCTCGCTGGGATGCTTTTGCGTTGTTTCTTCGCTGGCAGTTTCTGGTTTCAACTCGGAGTTTCCGAAAATAAGGGGGTACCTTATTTTGGGGTCCTTATAATAAGGATCCTACTATTTAGGGTACCATATAAGGGTCCCCTATTTTCGGAAAACCCCCAACTCGGTTCACCCAACCAACCCAGAACAGAGGCTCACGTTGTTTCGGGGGGCCAGGCTTGATGTCTTGCCGCAAGGGCATGCATGGAATCCATGGTGCTCCAAATTGAAAAGGCAAGGGATTTGGTGATCGAGGGATCGTTGGTACTTTTTGGGGTTTGGTGGGTTACATATTCGATTATGAGCGGACAGCTGAAACCAGGGGGTTCTGAGGCATTGAGGGGTTCAGCTGCTTTGGATAGTAGATTCGCCTCTGCACGGACCGCATGGATCAGGAAATCTCCACAATTCACTTGCAAGATCTGTAAGGTCCCAACGAGCCCACGACTATGGGTCACCCTAGAACCTAAACCAAACCGCATGTCGAGGGGGCAAGCTCTTAACCGGCTCTTAACATCCTAAAACCCTAAACCCTAAACCCCTTAACCCTAAAGCACGATCGAGGCTCTCATGTAACTAAGGGCCGAGAGCCGGAAACGCAGTTCAGAATAGAAGTATAACCATAATAGTCCTAATAGTGTTAGTCAAAGCAGATCTGAATACTCCTACTAATACTAGTAGTATGTATATATATATATATATATTATTTATTTATTTATTTACTTAATCATTCATTTATGATTGTTTATTCTCAATCATCATCACAATATCTAAGCCCAAAAACAATCGAAGCCCTGTTGCACCAATGCCCCGGCCCCTAAGCCGTAAGGTCATGGCACCAGCAAATGCACTGAGCAGCTGCTTCAATAAAAAAGCTGTCTACATGCAGAACAGCAGTCGCAAATCTGGAAATTTTCACCCCTGACCCTAACCCAATATTATTCCGTATGGCCCAATATGATATTTCTACTATCCAGGAGCCCAAGACCCTATTCTACTCTTACTTCCCAAAGAAACCAAGGATATTGAGGGTTAAACTTTCAGACTACTACCCGATCATAAGAACCCGAAAATTGTGAAGGTTGGCTATTGGAGAACTAAGTACTTATTGAGACCCAAAGGCCCAATCCAAACAATCCATGCAGCCCGATGTCCAAAATCCACGAAACCCTCTGCAAGCCCTACAGAAACCATCTCGGACAATGTTTACAATGCAATTAAAACCACAGACAAAAACACCCTTATAATAGGTTTGGGGTTTAGGGTTGGGGGTTTAAGGTTTAGGGTTTGGGTTTAAGTTTTTTTTTCACGAACGTTTCCGAACCTAACGCCTTCAACGCAAAAAGCCTGCTGTTCGTGGAGCCTTCAGCTTTCGCCAAGGAGTCCAAGCAGCGCTGGAGGTGGTGCGGACCTGTGGAAATGGTCTAGGAATTAGAGTTTAAGGTTTAGGAGTTGTTCATTTCGGGTTTAGGGTTTGGGGGTTGAGGGCTTGCCTGGGGTTCAGCTTAAACAGTGGTCCGTCGTTTCGGGTTTAGGGGTTGGGGTTTAAGGGCTCCCATAAAATGGGGCTCATCTTAAACCGCCTACGGCTTCACTGTTGCATCTTCAGCTTGCGACTTCTTGGCCCCTACTCTGGGTTCCGACATTCCCGTAATTATGCAGCATCACGGCCCCTCCGCATGTCGCAAGCGCTCCATACGTGTCACATCCCAACTTAAGTTTCTTGGCCAGTCACTTCAACATTGAGCCACTCGATCATCCTGGACATAAAGCCCATGGGCCCACCAGGCCGAGAGAAACTGAAGCATCCAAAATACAAGCCAGACTGTGACCTGAAAATCATCAAGGCTCTTCAGAAGTTCAATGTTTTGACTGGGGTTTCGGGCTAGGGAACCCTATGGAATGATACCTTATTCCGACCCCTACATTATACTAAAGGATCTTGAGCCGATCTCCCGCAGGTGGATCGAGGGATTTCCCTGCCTCTGCACGACCCTATATATCTCGCCTAGCTTCTCTGGGCTTTGATGCAAGCCGTCGATTGGGGCCCATGCGGGAGTCGGTCGCCACCACCTAAGGGGGACAGTCTGCGGAGAATTTACGCCCTGCTAAGCTTTGGGTTCCCGAAACCCTAAACCCAGAGGGTGTATAATGGTAACTCCTACAAAAAACCGTGCATTCGACTATATAGGTACATAGGACTCATAGGACCCTAGCCCGTAACCCTGAACCCTAACCGGAGGGTTTGGACTTTGCGCCTCAGGTATTTTGGTCTACTGTGCACCTCTTGGAGTGGAGGTTCGATTCGGTTCACATTCCCAGGAATAGGCGTTTGGGGAACGGTGCAATCTACCATAACGTTTAGGGTTTAGAGTTTAGGGAAGGGTATATTGCGACGAGACGGGAACCAGGTTTCCATCTGTTTAAGCTCTTGGAAACTCGGGCTTGAGACCATTTAAGAGGTTAATGTGCATCGCTACTTCGCCAAAGGTAGTTTCTTTGGTTGGGCTAGCCGTTTTTGTGATGCACGCCGCAAATCATAAAGCTTGTTAACCGAATGAAAGCAAGTTTTTTACATGGGTAGTTCTCTAAAATAGGGTCCTTTTCAGGTCCCCGACAGAGTACGGCACCCTTACAAAAAGGACCCTAGAAGGGACCCTAATTTACAAAACTACCCACATGGGAGATTGTAAGAAGGGATCGTTCGACAGAAGCTGGCCGGCAGGCCTGTTGGCCGTCCGATTTAGGGTTTAGGGCTTAGGGGTTGAGGGGTTTAGGGTTTAGGGACTAGCAATGTCAGGCCTCGATGCACTTATTGGAATCGGGTTGTGGTGGCATTATACTGTCATGTTAAATCACATAGGGACTATACTACTATACGCAATAGGATTGCCGAGCATTCAGACCCCTGTTCTAAAGCTTAGGAATAGGGTTTTGGGGCACACGATACTCTGGCTATAACAAGGAACCTCAAAAAACTCTTTCTAAGTATCAAGGCCCCTACCCTAAACCCCTAAACCCTAAACCCTAAACCATACGGCTCGAAGCTCTAAGGCGCTGTCCAGGACAGGCACCGCGGCGTCGGGATTGGTGACCAGGGCTGGGCGATGCAGATGCGTCACCTGCGCTTATAGGGTTTAGGCTTTAGGCTATAGAAGCACCCAAAAATACCTAGGCTCCATAGGGGTCTATAGGGTTTACACAGAAGACGTATCTGCAGGAGAGGGCAGATTGGTGCGTCACGTAAGGTTTAGAGTTTAGAGCTTGGGCGTTTGGGGAATGGGGTTTTGGGGCTTGGGGTTTACTACTCTACGGCGCCCTGTAGTCACGGACACTTAAATCAGTGATGAATCTTAGTCAAGGAATCCCTGACCCCTAAACCCCTAAAGCCCTGAAGCCTTCAATGAAGGAACTCTGGAGTCTTTCGGTATGCTTCAGAATCCTCGGTATCTCTAGCCTAAGCGGCTAGGATTCAGGATAACGGGTTAGGATAAGGGGTTTAGCAACCCTACGCCCTAAACCCTAAACCCTAAACCATAAAAGATGCAAAACTAATAATTTCAAGGGAGTTTGGAGGTTCCCTCTATAGTAGTGTTACATAAGGCCACAGCATTATCACTGCTTTTTCGAGCTCAGGCTCGAGAAAGGTTTGGACGCTTCGGGGGTCGGAGTTTGGGAGTTTTAGGGTTTAGGAATTTAGGGTTTAGGGCTCAGGGTTTAGGGAATTTAGGGTTTAGGGCTCAGAGTTTCGAGTTTAGGGTTAGGGACTTTAGGGTTTGGGGTTTCGGAGTTCAGCAGGCTCATCCAACAAGGAGCTCGAATCGCATCAGGGACCCGTGAAGCGCTGCACCTACGCAAGCTTTGAAGCCACTGAGAGCAAAGCCTCCCCAAAGTCTGCACCGTGAAACCGGAATCCTAAACCGGAATCCTGGATACAAAAGGATTTCGAGTTTGGATTAGGGGTTGCGGTCTCGGGCTCAGGGTGCTAGGGTCAGGGTTTAAGGGTTCACGGTTCAGGGTTTAGGATTCCGGTTTCAGGGTTTAGGGTGCTAGAATGCGCGCATCCGATGAGAGTGAGCTTGAAGGAAGAGCTTTGCAACAATCTGATATAGGGGCATGCATTGGAGTAGGGTCTTGGTGTATATTGTAGCATACACAGGTTAGGGAACCCTAAGAAACAAGTGATGCTACCAAGTACTCAGGATCATAGCAGGCGCCGAGTTTCTTGGCCCAGACAAGATTAACCTTCTTCGCATGCTGGGACCCAGTTAACCTTTAAGTATGGTAGGAGTGTACTCATATGATCTCATATGCATATCAGCAGATCAACCCAATAAAAGGGTTACGCAGTCAGCAACCAAGAAGCCCCGCGATGCTGCTGAAAACGGCAAATGCATGTTTTGCTTCTTTGTTTTAGCCATGGGGTTCGGGGGGTTGCCGGGGGTCAGGATACGGGGCTTCTAGTTAAAGCTACTTGCTGTATAACCAAACTCGATTTGGGGTTCAGGGTGTAGAGTTTCAGGAGAGACGGGGCCATGGTATGATATAACTCAGTCGTAGGATGCTTACTGCCCGTTTGTTCTCACTGACTCTCCCAAACTTGTTGTATTGAACTAAGTCGTGTTACTAAGACCCTCCTCCCGTCTCCTGAAGGGCAACCGATCAAAAGAGCTCGGGAACCAACACAGATTACACGCTGCGACCGAAGTCGCCGTTTTCGTCGTGGGACCCGATGTCGTTGGCAATCTAGGCACCTACACAGGCTGAACCCGTCATATGTGTGTATGCATTGCTACCTGCATGCCTGCCTACATACATGCACCCATGCATGCATACATGCACGTATACATCACGCCTACCCACCTATATACCCACCTAGCTAAAAACCTACATGCATCACTACCTACAGGCATACATGCCTACATGTATATGTGCATACATATCTACATGCATACATCCAAACATACGTACTTACATACGTACACACATGCAACACATCCACCCATCCAATTTTCATTGATCCAGTTTATCCACGTATCCATCCATCCATCCATCCATCCACCCACCCACCCACCCACC